GCACCTAAACAGCCCAACGATGCGGCGCGTGGCGTCCCGGCGCAGCAGACCGAGCTTGCGCAACAGCCTGTTTGTGCCGCAGGATGAGGTGTATGACGACTTTGAGGAGCCGGAAGACGAGGGGCTGCGGGAGACGGTCAGCGCTGTGGAGAGACCATTGCTGGAGGACGATATTGACGAGGGGAAGAAGGGCGGAGTGAGGGGACGGGCGAGGAGTTTGAGTCATACGCTCGGGGAGCTGTTTGGGGTGAGGAGGGCAAGGAGGGGGGTTGTGGTGGAAGATGAGGAGGACGGGCTGTTGGGGGAGGGGAGTACCGAGACGGCGTGATGTGATGGTGCTTGTTACGGAGGGTTATAGGACGGAGGAGGTCTGAACAGTCTGTTTGCCTGGGTCTGGCGGCTTTCGAAGCATTACTGCATTGGATACGGAGTTTTTAGTTTTCTTTGTGCGTTTTGATGATGCCCATCTAGAGTCGGTCCGGTTGGTAGGGAATGTGCAGGCGGTCTGTGTCACTTTGATTCCCTGGGCGGTTACGGAATTGGCTCAAAAGGATGGAGCGTAATAAAATAGCACATATATAATTGTATAAACCGAAGACTTTCACGGTGTTGGGGTTAACTCCCTTTAGCTGCTTGAAAAGGACCATCAAGGTGCTTCGGTGCGTAGTGGCTGGGAGGTCAGAGCTGAGGTGAGTGAGACATGCGGTGTGATGGCGGAGAAATCCGCGGTGATCGATGAATGGGGTAACACGAACGCCATGTTTAAAACTGGAATTCCTGTGTCGCTGTCGGGGCTGCCGTTTCTGACTGGCCATCAATGCTGATTTCTGATTGGCTAGTCTGATCTCGGCAGCTCAGCCCAGACATTCTCTGCGTACAGCTGCAGGTCCTGAATGCTAAGTACAAAATCTCCCTCTTGCGGGCCTGGATTGCGAAGAAAAAGAAGTCGAAATCCTAGTACTAATGCCCCCCTAGTAACATTGTACGATACTGGATTTGTTGTCTCATCGCGGGTGATGGTGATTGACTGCCGTTTCACTGGGTTGAGAACACCATTCTGCAGTAATATAGCAACAGCCCGACTCCGCGTGATCGAGATTTCTTCCTCCCATTTCTCTAGCAAAATGTGGTGTTGCTGGTCGTCAAAATTCACCAGAATAACAATCTTGACCTCGTGGTTTGATGCTTGAAACCACCACCGCATATCCTTATGAAGCTCGGGTAATGTTTCGGAATGTCCAGACTCCATAACTAGTGTTGGCCAATTACCTGCTCCTACACGTTCCGGCCGTGGACCGCCTGTCGAATCGCCTTCTCCGCTATCTCCTCCAGGATGACCTTGCTCTGCTCGAAATGTAGCTGACCCAATACTTTTCCAACTTCCCTCCCTACCATTCCGGACAAGCTGGTCACGATACCGCTCATAAAGTCCCAGGTGAAGGGCCTCGTGTAGATCAGTTGGGATTGTGATGATTAAGATCTGGGAATTGGCATTGTAGCGGCGAAAACGGAACTTTCGGTATCGTTTCTTTTGCCCACTCCTTCGCCCAGTGTCTCGCTCACGCTCGATTTCAGTGAATTGATTAAGAGAGACGTCTAAATAATTAGTATATTATATAGAAATAAGAAAGTAATATCATACTTGTGACGGTAAGGAAATCCCCAGTAGTGGAATCAATAACATCGAAGAGATCTTGCGTATTGGTAAATCGCACGGTCGGGGGATCGCCATCTTTCGTCGACTTAACTGAAGTAAGTATGGTAGACGCCGACGGAACTGCCGATGAAGCCGACACCGACGAAGCCGACACCGACGGAGATGTCGTCGACCTCGATGTGATTGACGCCATGGTGAAGCGTGGGGCTGGGACAACGTGAAGCCGGGGCTGTTGGAGGAACCAATCTGCTGAAAATGGTGGGGTTTGCACTAGCTCTGGGTACTTGTGGAGGCTGCTGAGATTAGCGGGTCTAACCTGCCAAAAATGGCATCCCAAACAGCGACACAGGCACTCCTCATGGAATTTCCCTCTTTCCCACCCAACCTGGCCAGCCACTCCTCGACTCCTTCCCTGGACAGCGACCTGAGCAGCCGCGAAACAGTGGAAAATACGGGGGCGGGCGGCTTACCTCGGACATATGGAGCATCCCCGGCCTGAAGCGGTCTAGCGAGCGTTGCAGATGTGCCTGACTAGCGGTGGTCCCCGGATCCTGGATAGACCAGCGATCCATTCACCCTAGGTCGAGGGCCGAGGGGGCGTCGATGGAGCCCGGACAGCGGGATCGCTGAAATATACTTAACGCGTTGTCCGACAGGTCTGGTTTTTTCTTCTCCCAAGTGCCTTTGAGCCAGCACTATTGAAGCTCTGGTCGAAGTTGAAGATATTCCTGTCGCCGTCTGATTTCCGCAAGCACCAAACACTGGGTTCCCCCCCCCCCCCCGGCATTGACACCGCCCTTCCAATTGCCTGCCGACCACCGCGGGACTAGCAGCAATTGATTGATCTGATTGGGGACTGAGGTCGAGGATTGGGATCAGGGCTGGAATTGACTTTCCAGGTGACGCGCACTTTTTAGACTCATAGCACAATGTCGGGCGCGCCCTCGAGGCTGCGGAACGTGCTGGGCCACCTGCTGCCCCTATCCCACCGGGAAGCACCACACCACTTCTCACAGCTATCACCAACCTTCTTCCTCGAGCGCGCCGCCGCTATCGAGCCCGAGGCCGAGGCCGTCTACCACATCACGGCCAACAACAAGGTACTACGCCGTTCCTATATAGAACTAGCCGACCGCGCCCGCGGCCTCGGCTACTACCTGAAGAATAAGGGGCACAAGCGCGTCGGCCTGCTGGCCCCCAACACCCCGGCCTTTCTCGAGTCTGTCTACGGCATTGTCGCTGCTGGCGGCGTCATCGTGCCCGTCAACATCCGCCTGAAGCCCGAGGACATTGCCTACATCTTTGAATTTGCTGGCGTCGACTCCATCATTGCCGATGCCGAGTATGAGGGGCTACTAGACCTGTATCGCAAGGACCATCCCACGGTTCCTGTTATTGTCGATGTGGTTGGTACCGCCTCTCAAGTCACTTGGACAATAACTGACCCCGTCCAGGACACCGACGCAAACGAGGGCGCCCTCTGCGGTCCCTTCGACGATGCCGTACTCGAGGGTCTGCACCTCGACCGCGACACGGGCGCCAAGGGGTGGGCCGGTCTGCAATCACAGACGGTGGCCAACGAAGACGACATGATCGCCATCCCCTTCACCTCGGGAACCACCTCCAAACCCAAAGGCGTCGTCTACACCCACCGCGGCGCCTACCTTGCCACTCTCGCCAACATCGTCGAATCCGGCCTCAACGTCCCAACAGGGCGCTGCAAGTACCTCTGGACCCTTCCCATGTACGTTCCCCCGTTTCCCACCACCCCGATGCTAACCCCCTCCCAGGTTCCACGCGGTAGGCTGGACCTTCCCCTGGGCCGTCTGCGCCGTGCGCGGCACGCACGTGTGCCTGCGCAAGATCGACTACCCGCTGATCTGGAACCTCCTGAAAACCGAGGGGATAACGCACTTCAACGCCGCGCCCACGGTCAACACGCTGCTCTGCGCCGCCAAGGAGGCCGCGATCCTGCCCACCCCGGTCCGCGTCACCGTCGCCGCCAGCCCGCCGACGGCCCACCTCTTTGAGCAGATGACGGCGCTGAACCTGCACCCCGTGCACGTCTACGGCATGACCGAGACCTACGGCCCCATCACGCGCGGTTACGTCCTCCCCGAGTGGGACGCGCTGCCGGCGCACGAGCGGTTCGGCAAGATGGCGAGGCAGGGCCACGGGTTCCTAACGAGCCTACCGGTGCGCGTGGTCAAGCCCGAGCAGGCCGAGGCGGGCGTCTTGATCGACGTGGCCAAGGACGGGAAGGAGATTGGCGAGATTGTGTTCAACGGGAACATATGTTGCAAGGGGTACTACAAGGACGAGGAGGCGACGCGCAAGCTGTTTGCCGGCGGGGCGTTGCACTCGGGCGACCTGGCGGTGGTGTATCCCGACGGGAGCATCCAGATCCAGGACCGCGCGAAAGATATCATCATCTCTGGTTAGTCTTTTTTCTTCCTCCCTGATAATCCGGAGTGGTCACTAACGCCAAGCAGGAGGCGAGAACATCTCGAGCGTCGCCCTCGAGGGCATGCTCGTCGAGCACCCGGACGTGCTCGAGGCTGGCGTCGTGGCCGTGCCCGACTCGCACTGGGGCGAGCGCCCCAAGGCGTACCTGACGGTCAAGGAGACGAGCACGGCGTTGCAGCCGCAGGACGTGATTGACTGGGCCAAGCACAACAGCGCCATCAGCAAGTTTATGGTGCCGCGCGAGGTTGAGATTGTCAAGGAGCTGCCCAAGACGAGCACGGGCAAGATCAAGAAGAATGTGCTCAGGGAATGGGCCAAGAAGGGCACGCCCGAGCAGTGAGTATATTTTATCATGTGTTTTTATATATAGCGAGTTTTCGTTGAGCCTGCTGGGACAGTGATGAATGGATTTTTGTTTGGATATTCAAGATGTGGTTGTCTGCCGTGGTCGGCGTGAGGTGTTTGGATAGTCCGTAGTCAAGCGGGGTTATTTCCATCTTTTGGCCGAGAATATTTCGTAAGCTACATGCATTCCGGGTTTCTGGTTCATGCCTGCCATGACGACGCTTTACTGGTAGCGTAATATATCAGCTATGGCATATAACAGCAAATATGGGGCCTCGGCAGCTACTATGTGGGGGTACTAACTCCGACGCCAGAAAGCACGCAATGGCAACGGAAACACGGCAGGAAAAGAGTATCCAACCTTCTGAACAATACTCACAGGCAAGATAAAAATAACATCCCCTAAACGGCACCTCATCATACCACCCAGAAGATAAGAAAACCAGACGCATGACTGATACCTACAAAGTAAAAAGGAAGGGAAATACCAACCGCTTCCCATCAACAAACAGAAAAACAAAAAAAACATAGTTAGCTGCGGTTGGTTTCGATCCAACGACCTCCGGGTTATGAGCCCGGCGCGCTTCCACTGCGCCACGCAGCTTGTCGCTGTTGAATTTGGATGAAACTATTTCTGCCGATTCTCGCTTTAGTAGGGGTGCGCTTGCGGCAGCATTGTGTGAGTGTGGTGTGGGAAACCCGATATTGAATGACTCACTCGTTTATGTTCAGGGGTTAAAAATGAGTAAAAGCCCTCGGGTGGATGTCTGCATGAGTTCGATGGGACCCGCAGGGACCCGGTTCTGTGCATAATTAGACCGCAAACCGCCATGGCGAAAACAGCTGCGCATCATGTCGTGCAAAGAGCACAAGGTAAGGTCGACGTTATCAAGTCACTAAACCATGGGAGTATCATTTTCAGTTTATTTCTGATCATTAATTCAAAGGTAGGATAGCTCCATTTAGCCCATCCATCGCCCTCATCTAAACTCTTCAATTCGCCATATCCTTCTCTCGCCTTAAAGCGAAAGGCATCATGCCAACACTTCAATGCGAACCAGCTGCAGAAAAGTCTCAAGCTGGTGCGCAAGAAATCCATGTGCTAGATCCCCTCTACCGTCCTACTTGACATCTAGTCCGACCCTGCCTAGCCTAGCCCAGCCCAGCCAAGCCACAAAGAACGGATACCCACGACCAAACAACGCCATGCTCATGCCGTGGTATAAAGCGAGTAAACAAACACCAACACGACGGGGAATCAAAAGGTGATAATATGGAAAGAAACAATCCCCATATTGGTGGCAACAGGAAGGGTATGGAATGTGGGTATTTAGTGTGTTTGTAACGTATGTCTGTAAAGTGTAATATGTGAGTTCATCAGTCATGCCCCATGAGACCGATTAAAACAAATGTAATAGGGCAAAAGAGAGCCGAGGAAGCGAATCTCAGACTGAGGGATCTGAATCCAGACACGGGGAAAAAAAAATTAAGAAGCACAATGAAACTCAAGCAGTGATAACTGCGGGAGGTTCAGCGGGAAAGCCCGATCTAGAGGCTCCCGGCGTGCTCGGATCGGTTGCGATTTCGGGATCGGGGATTTGGATGTCAAGCTTTGTAAATGTTAGCATCAGATCGAGAAATTGGTGTTCAAGCCATAAAAAAAGCTTACCGTCATATATCCAGTCCGTTTCAAGGGCACAATTTTGGGTGGTATGGTGCTCTCGTCGGCGCCAACCGTCTTCTCCATCTCCAAGTTCCACTGCTCGATCCACTTTTCAAGACTCCGGAGACGGGACTTGACGCCTGTCAAACCAAAGTCTTCCCACAGCCAGCCTGTAGCGAGCCCCAGTACACCATCCATAATATTTCTCCAGTTGTACGGGCTAAACGTCGGGATTAGCTCGCTATTGAGCTTTTCGATGACGCGGCGGAACTCCTGCTCAGTCACACCGGCGGGGTCCAGAATTTCGGGGTACAGATTTGAAAATGTGGGCGCAAGATCGCCCTCGAGGAGCCAGTCCCGGCGGATCCGGATGATGCGGGTGCTGGCATATTCGGGGGAATCCACGGGGACATGCGGGTTTAGATGGGGATAGCAGGGATGCTGCGGACCCCATTCTTCACCGGCATCGGGCGGTTGATCAGGATCGCCCATTATGGAGGAATTGCTCGATGATATAGCAGAGCCAATGCCCGATAGATGTGAGGCCGTCGAGTGGCGGTTTGTGGCATCTGGACCACGCTCGAGGTCTTGGGAGAAGCCACCCCTGCCATCATCTACGTTCTCTGGAGCCATGACTGCGACTGCTTTTCCCTTTCCCTTCTGATCTCTTTGCTTTGCTTCCCGGAAGCTGAGTCCAACAGGCACCTGCGGATACGTAACGAGCTGCTCTCTCGCCTTGTGCTCGGCCTTGCTCGCCTTCGCCCCCTCAGGGACCGATTGGGTGTATGAGGGTCCTGCCTCGGGTGATGGTGTGATGCTCACACGCTTCTCGTCGTACGAATGGCGAATAGACCGCGGGAGACTGATGCGCTGTTCGCTCCCGGCACAGCGTTCGATCTGGAGGCTGGCCCTGTTGGAAATAGAGTGGCGAGCTGGTTGGTGCTCGGTAAGGGTCAATAGAGGGCAGTCGCCGGCGCCGGTGGTAGGGTCGGCGGGATAGCCGTCTGGGCCGAGAGCGGTTTGGGAGAGCGGGACCGAAGGAGGTGGCGGCGTAGACGGACGACGTTGCCTGCGGGCAGCAGCGGACGGGGCCGGGGTTCTCGGTGTCGAATTGGTCGGGTTCCACAGACGGGCGGCGGACAGGCGTCTTAGGGGCCGCTGGAAGGGAGAATTGGCGGCGGCGCCTCGGGTGCGGAAGGGCGATTGCAGAAAAGAGTCCTGGGGGCTGCCGAAACCCCTTCGGAGGAGGCTGTTTCTGCGCGTCGGCAGGCGGCCTGGGGCGGGCGCTACGGGCGGCGGCGGAGTGGGTGTGGAAGCGCTAGGGTACTGAGGGTACGGAGGCTGTTGAGAGGGCGAGGGGAGGCGAGGGTTCGCGGCAGGCGGCAGTGATGGGGGTGATAGGATGGTGTTGCCAGACGATGCATCTATGGCGGTCGTTTCAGTCGATCGCGGGGGGTGGGCTGCTGCTGCCGTGCGTGAAGCCGTCGGGAAAATCTGTCAGTGGCCGCCGGAACGGCCTCCTCGACACAATGCCTTCGACTCGGACTCGGCTCCACCCCAACCTCTGTCCTCAGTGTCGTCTTGGCTTTCTGCGCCTGCGTCTCCCGCACGCACAGGCTGAACCTTGATAGAACTGGACCGGGTGGCGGCGTCAGGGCGCGTTGGGGATGCGGATCCCAATGGCGATTGCAATGGCGATGGCAGCGTGGGTGTGGGCAGCAAGTGCGAGAACAGAGGGCGACCGGCTTCCAATTTGGCTTTGTGCCAATCTGCAGGGCGTGACGCTGCTCAATCTGGTGCCGAAGCAAATCGTGACTGCTGCCAGTGCCCGTGCTCACGCTGCTGTGGAGCTGCTGCTGCATCGGTCTGTCAACTGCTGCCAACTGGCCTCTCTGCCTCTCTGTCCTCCTGTGCCGATTGCGCTTTCTCCCTGCTGCAGGTACGAGGAGCGTCGGCCCAAATGGGAAGGCGGCCACCAAAACCGATTAGAAAAATCCGAAGCAACCAGGCGATCAATGTTCCATCACCTCTTTCAGCCAGCAAATCCTGTCTCGGCCGGCTACTGCGCTCTGTGTCCTGAGATCTCGGTGCTGGTCTGGTCGTGGGAGAAAATGGTGTCGTTTTGCTAGAGAGGCAGCTGGGCAGACGACAAGACAGCAAGTGCTGGACGGGTTTGACCATATACTCTCCCAGTCCTCACAGATGCTTGTTGCTTTTTTGATTGTTCAAGGCCGGCATTCCTTGGTGCAAGTCAGCCCAATATATTTCAGGCATCCTCTCGACCCGCCCCCATTACGACATTTTGCACTGGGGGGGCGCTGGCTCCCCAGGCTCCCGGGCTCTTGACGGGGGTTGGCCATTTTTTCTTCCAGGGACGCCGGGATTGGTGACACTTGCCGTCAGCCCCCAGTGACGGGATGGGAATAGCAAAAAAAATTCCATCACGGCCCATCACACAACTCCATTGGCGGGCTTGTCATCGCTTATGGGGCGAACTCGCGTCTTCTCTACACCCTCACGACTCTGAATAGAGGGCAATCCATGGTTAGGGAGCTTCGATGCACGTCTGGTCCTTGGTCACTTCTGACACGAGGATCCGAGCAGCCGGTGTCTGTGCCCTCTAGCTCGGCTTCGAACAGCAGCATGAATTTCGGGATTATCAATTTCTCATGATCGCCCTCTGCCCTGTTCTTCCATCAGCCGCTGCTTCTCTGCATTATGAACCACGCACAGGGTAGCTGTCGACCTGGAGAATGGGGCGATTCATGACGCAGCTAATATCGGCCACCCCGTGTCTGTAGTACATATAGACATCGAGGTCAGCCGTGAGCGACCATTGTGTTGCGCTCTGCTTTGACGGTGGCTCGAGCATGGTGGTGTGATCCGACAGCAGAGTAGCTGAAGCTTACTGCCAAGTGGGATTCCGATGTGTTCAATATTTCCCTACCGGACCCCCTATTGTGTCTTAACACGGCCCGGCCAATCTATGTCTCTGCGGCCCATTCCCGGGTTTCTCTTTGGGGAGCTTGATTGCTTCTATTTGCGGGGTCTCCATCGCCAACCTCACCCAAACGGAGCTTGCTTTGGGGGGGGGCGGATGCAGGAACTCGCCCCCCCTGCGACTCGACTGCCCTACCCAGCTCCCCGCTACCCCGTAGGAAAGTTGGGGGCTCGCACCTGACGCTAGTGATCCTAGTCCCGCACAGGCTCATTGGACCCGTTGGACCTCCCTCGTACCAACCCGCAATTGCCAGGCCCTCCAGCCCAGCCATCGCACCGCCGTGAAATCAGCGGCCTGAGATGTTTGCGGACGGCGATGGAAGCTGACATTCCACCAGCGCCGGTGTAAACACAACACACAGGTCAACTCTTTGACATCAACACCCATAAGTAGTCGCGGAGGAGACGCGTCGTCACTTCGTGTTAAGCTTTTGTATCGAAGCAACGACGTCTGACGTCACTACAATCCCCTGCGCTGTTTCCCAGTCATCCCTGCGGCTCAGCGACTCAGACCTGGCTGTCTCGCTCGACTGTCTGTCTTTTTGCTTATTCCGCCCTCTCCCTCGAACCCCAGATCCCATGAACTGCTTTGTTTGAACGCGCGACCATGACGGACTCTCCCCAGAGCCCACGCGCCAACGGGGTCGCCACCCCTGCCGGAGTCAAGTCCATGGGCTTGTCGACGGGCTCCGATGCGCCACCCGCCTCCAGACCTCACCCGCTCCGCCGTGCCGTGACGGTAGACGAGGCTGCATACGGCGCTCGCTGGCGGCCATCATCTGACAACCTCGGCAGCCCAAAACCGCCCGAGGACCACCGACGCCGCAGCTCCACCTTTTCCGACTATAGCTTGGCCGAGGCGAGACGGGGCTTGCAGGATGACATCCTCAACCCCGGTGGCGTCGACCTCCAAAGCCACGAGAAGAAGTGGTCCTGGCTGC